ATCCGTTAAAAGGGGTGTCCCGTCTATTTGATTCTGTCTTTGAAGCAATCACACAGAATAAACTGACTAACCGATGGTGGCCGCAAGATTTAGTGTGCCAGTGGTTGCATTCATTTTGATAACTGGAAGTTTTTGTCTGCTGCTTTTTGTTGTCTTTCAAATAGGACAGCATATATATTTAATCCGTTCAGTTTTGACATTGTCTCATACGCAGTCATACCGGATTAACCCAGCGGCTTAGGGTTAGCATGTGTAATGAAAACACACCAGTGCTTGACTTCCTCACTAAACAGTGTCTGAAGAGGATGAAACGTTGTGGTCTCTTCAGTTGCTTTAACCGAAGAATTTCTTGCCAATGCCGTATAGTGGCTCATACTGTACAGTCTATGACCAATACTTTTCAGTTGAGGTCGCATTCCTTTGATTCTAACGCATTCTTTCTCTCACTCTCGATGGAAGCTGGTCACGTGAGTTGTTCCACACTAACACTCGAGACGGCTGTAATAGTGGCTTATTTTCGCTCGGTTTTAGCGTATTTTTTAGAACCATAATATTCATCTGTATGTGTGACATTCTGGAAGGAATAGTCCCTTTACTTCCAGGGTGACACAGAGCTCAATGACTACTGTGATCAAAGAGAATCGTGTTTTAGTTTGTCTAATACTAACAATAGATTTGTTTCTCCTCCGTTGAGAAATTTGACACAAACCACATTTGCACAGGTAGTGTCATACGTTTGCATGAGCAATATGCATTTGTGTGATTATATTTGTTTGCGTGTTGTTGACAAAGCTGATAACCCACACGTAGGTGTTTTACCGTAAAGTGGGAATATTGGTGCACCTTGAGGATATATTAAACACTAAAAGTTGCTAACATTCCTTTAGTTCCCTTTAGTTCATCGATCAGTAAATAGACATCGTGTGATCTCCCCCATGAAAACAAGGCCATAATCCTATCCAGGTCGAAACAGCTTCCGATTTTATCAAAACATAATTACTAACTCTCACCCGATCTGGTTGTGATTGGAGTTTATTACACAAGGCAACATATTTGTTCAGAAAGAAGTTGGACCGTAGCTTGATAAATAAATAAATAAATGATATATTTCTAGACATGCGAGACACAAGCAGACTACGAGCCTGATCATGTGGTACAACAAAGTCGGGTAGTGGAGAGGAATATTCAGTGATCTATTGTGTTCACATAGGAATGTTTCAGTGCTAAATCAATTAAAAATAGTAAAGGAGTAAGAGTAGTAGAAGTTGAGAATAGGAATAAAATTAGATATAAACTTTCAGTGTAATTGGAGTAATACGACCCATCATGAAACCGTCTCCCGGAGACCTGCTTCCACACTTCTCTTCCACATCTCATCTGGCCATGTGCTATTGTGGCGTTATATGTATACAGTTATGTGGGGGCCTGTGATATATATTAAGCTCTCCCCATCGTACAGCCATCTTTTATCTGATTTGTTTCCAGCACTGTATTGTGGGGGCCTGTGTTCAATGAAAAGCTCTCCCCATCATACAGCTATCTTTTAGCTGATTCAAGTCCAGCACTGTACTGTGGGGGCCTGTGTTTCATATTAAGCTCTCCCCATCGCACAGCCATCATTTGGCTGATTCGAATCAAGCACTTGTAATATGTGCCAGTGAGTTTGTGATAACTCAAACTGCATGAGTGTGCTGCATTTTTTTCGGAAGCGTTTATCCATGGCCTCGGGAGATCGGCCCAATCCTGGCCAACACTGGAAGGAGAGAAATAAGCAAATAAAAGTGGGTGGACGTACAGTAACGTGAAATGCTAGATTTTCGTCCGACTTTGTTCGATTCAGATTGTACAAGTTTCACTGGTAACTGATAACCTCAGGAATATACATGCTTATTTACAGAAAAAGGAGAAGAATTTTCGGAGGAAATAGTAAGATAGCTCCAGCAGTTGTCGGAGATCAAAATGGGAAAATTGTTGATGCGAAATAATTTTGTATGGTACTGAGAAATATTGTATGTACGCATGGTATTTTTCAGGGAGGGAGAGAAAACTGTACGCAAAGTAAAGTAAGTTAACTGTCGTTCCAACTGTTCAGCTGTGTGCGGTAAGAGGAGAAGCTGATTTCGATGAGGGGATTTGTTCAGAGTGAATGTAAGCGTGGAAGATCATGGTAGGTTTTCGGAAGGTGTTATCAAATGGATCCAGTCCAAAAGCAGAAGGATTAAATCAACATAGATTTCGCTGAGCACGTAACACAGCAGCTCGTACCTAAGGGAGGGGTCCAGGGGAAAAGATAAGTGGAAAACAATTAGCTTTGCAGAACAAATGCGAAATAATTTGCTCGAGAGGAACTCTAGGGCACATTTCCGTCTTGGTGAGTGTGAACTTCATTGTTAAGCAGGATATTTTTGCCATTAGAAAACACGCTATTGCTACTGATAAATTTGGGGAGGGCAATAAGATCGGACAACAGGAGAATGAAAAGATCCCCTGATATTGGTACTATATCCATCTTGCTCCTTTTTCGTACGGGGATTCACTTGTCAAGGTAGGTTGCAATATACCGATCGCTGTTTCGACGTTTAGAAAGGAATGTATAACGTGTCGGAACTTCATCCCTGACTGGATTGCACGTATTTCAGATGGAAGCCTGTTCCACAATATGGAGTATCGATTTAGGAAAAAGTTGTCAGACAGTTTCGTTCGTGATCTTTTCACTTTTACTTTATTGTGGTTGTTATTTCGGGTGCGATAATTTGATAATTCTGCTCGTTGTACCGATGGACGTGAATAATGTATTTTTTGGGTAATTGTATCAAAGAAGATGAAAAGGTTAAGTTTCATTCTGCGCATTGGTATGACCAGAGAAAAGTCTTCACTACGTAGATCCAAAGAGGAAGTGTGCTGTACTTTTATGTGGGGTGATTGCGATAGGCATTGCCGTGGTTCAAATCGTGTAACAATATCAAGTTATGTTTGATCTTCACTGCCAAAGCTGATTGAGATAGATTTATCGGCATCACTCCCGATAGTCCTCGGTAGCAATTTTCCTAGTAGGCAACTTGTAAACGACCGCTGTAGACTTTCTATATCAGTTCTGCCAGATTTCCTCATACTGCCACAAAGTACGCCAAAGTAATCCAAGGTGGGACGACTAAGGATTAAGAAATACAACCTTGGCTTGAGTTGTGTGCATCTTGCGGTATATTTTATCCACAGAATGTCTACCCGACGTTATTTGATACGGAACCTGTTCAGAAAAGTTGCAGATACAAAGCCGCCTGCTTTGAGATCACATGTAATTGGCTGTCGAGGGTGATTGGTCTTTCGGGTGTCAAGTGTTCACGATAAACCATACTTGATTTTTTTCGGATAATCTCAGCTTCCATATATCACCCCAAGTCCCAAGGGATTGATGATCACTCTGAATTAGTTAGAGAATTTCATCAAACCCTTCTTAGCTGCTTTTATGAATAACAAGTTTTTCCCAGCAGCCAAGAGCAGGACTACAAGTATTCCAGCTCAGCGAACCAATGGGAAACATCGCATCACAAGTCACCCCTTTAGTTGCTTGAACAAAAATAACACAATGGAATGGGACCAGACTGACTTGAATACCACTCTTCACAGCCAGCTCCAACCAGAAAATCGTAAGCACCAGGATAAAATATAGACAGACCTTTCGTTCTCACAAGACTGGAAACGTTTACCACGTCCTTGCAAGTGTGGACTCTGGATGAGGGAAGTCTGCAAGACAAAGTGGCCAGTTATAATGGGACACCGCCTTCTATTGCGGACGAATTATCTCCAAAGCAAATATGATTTCAATAATACGTTTACAAAATGCATCGTTTTTTCGCACCCACTGTTGTATACTTAGATCTGCCCCTTAAACCTCGTCAAAATCCATACGTATTCCTTTCTACTCTTGTTGTCAGGAGGCTGCCAACACTGGTGAGCAATCCGTACACGAAACTTATCCGGGGATATTTCTTTTTCGTTAGAGATTGCACCTTAGCCTCAGCTCACTAGCTTGCATTCACGGAACACAGTGCGCTCATCGGTATACCGTGATTCTCCTTAGCAACACGGAGATTGTAAATTACCAACTAGATACATACTAAGTTGGGTTTTCTCTGTGCAGCTATGAGGATGTTGAGTGGTTGTTGTTTTTCACCGTATGGTATGTATAGAAGTACTTTTCATCCCATCGAATAGGGGGTTTATCACATAATTACGGCCAACTGCACCACAAGTAGAGGAAAGGGTATACGTTTGAATCAAAATCCTAAGGTTTTTATTGACCAATAATAGACGTCCATTTGGAAAGTTTACCGGAGTGTTGACGGTATTGGAGATTTCTTTCTCAGATCCATATTTGTGAAGCAGCTGTGTGAATTCCGGGCTTCCTTCGGAACTCATCCACGTGGGTTCATGGATAATCTTGAAGTGATCCTGGTAGTTCTCCTACATAAGTATTCGCGCAGTTGGCCTGTTACCGATAAGTGATCCAGTCACTCTGATAACTGTGTGCCATGTGTATACTCTCCAACATTATTGTCGTCTTCTTCTACGTCTGAAACAAAACACTTTGAGACCTCTATAGGTCTGGCAAGTAGCAGTCTACCATTAGAAATGTATTCGGTTGGCAAGACCAAAGGAAGAGTGGAATCCAGCTCAGCAGGCTACAAGAAACTATGGAAGGATACATCTAATGGGAACGAGCGTGAGTACATACTGTGTTGGCACGCAAGTGATCAGACGGATACAAGCGAATGTGGACGTAGAATGAGCAGAAATATAGCCAGAACCAATCACCATTAACCCAGAAATAAAGATAGCGAACATAAACAGCAAGTTATTTATCGAGTAGTCACACGCGAAATGATATGTTGGCATGCTGTCAGTGTGGTGACAGTAATGCCTACTGATCTCGACGGAATTTGCTTTGCATTGTATGATTTTAACTACTTCATACAAAAGCACAATCTTTCTTTCCATAAATGATTTCCACGGAACCGAAAGAATTATTTGCGTTTACTCAACGGCAATTTCGGAGCCATGAAGATGAGCTCGCTCATACTTATCTGGCTTCTACTAATCGCAATCTACTCAGAGATTCTCGACAAGATCACCTCGGTGAGTAACGAACTTACGTCCAGGAAGTGCGTAAGAAAATCCGTGGTATTTGGAGTGTGCAGCTGCCCCGAGGCGAAAGCTCTTTCTCAGTCCGTTAACAGCAATTTATTTGAAACTTAATACTTAAGCGCATCGAGTATTGTCGTGAATTTTTTTTTACACCCAATGCACATCGCAACATGCGACCAGTCCGCTGCTTAGCATGTTGGTAGTACATAGTTGCTACCAGAGGAAATCTTCATCTCTTTAGAAATAGGTGCTGATTTGCCGCAACTGTCTTTTATTTTACCTTTCTCTTTAGTTTTATACACTCTATCGCGCATTTGCTTACACTGTATATGATTTAATGTTTGTTCGGCTTCAATCGGATGCTTTTTCCCTTCCAATTAATCATAGCCTCATATTGTAAGGTATATACTTCATGACTTAGGCGCTGTGTCTTCTCGTGGCTTTGTGCTCGACAATAACGCGCCTCTTCAGTCTACCTGGCTACACTGAGGCTAACAGACTATTTCTTCGAGCTTTATTCCGACCAGGTTGGTCACTGATAGAGGGTTGGATAAATTCATTCCGCTGATTGTTCAGCTTACTTGCTGGAAATGGTTTTGATTGATCACTGTTTGACAACCATCTCAATTAATCTGAATTTGCTTGTCCCAAGGCGGTTGACATCAACCCGACCAAGGGAGTGTGCTACTATCGACCGCTACCTGGTTGAATATAAGGAAATCTGGGTGATTTCCACTGTCGTGCTTGGCACTCATTAGTTTCCGAACAAACTTCCCGCAAAATGAGACACAATTACACTCTAGCACTCTAGGCTCGCTCATTGCTGATCAACTTTGACGCAACTGTACTTCAGGAATACTTCACACTTGCATGGAGCGCTGAGTCGTTTTAAACATTTGTGAGCAGCAGTTCGTATTCAAGTATTGAAAGAAGTACATACACATTTATATCTTAGAATAAACATGGAAACTAATACAGATCCCTAATTTCGGAAGGTTTTAGAATATGATACAATACACGACAATAAGACATGTCTATACAAAAAGGATTTATATACTAAATTCTTGCGAAATTAAGATATGCCTACTGCATTTTGTTGTAGAAATCAGCCTTTCAGAGACAAGCGTTTATTCGGCCCAGCGAACTCGGCGAAAATTACAGCACGTTTGGCAAGCCATACTCCTCGATATAAGTTATGCTTTCACGTCCATAACTAACGACCTTCCTGAGGCAATGAGATATTTTCCTTGACTCAGGTGAACAAACGATGAGTAACCCACGTGAATGTCCGCCAATTCATGTCCAACAATCAAATCTGGTACACCCGGTTCCCATTGGCGCTCTGGATCCCTCTAATGACCCACCCGTTCACTCTGGTAAGACACTCCAATCACAAATTTCTCGACACTTTGAGACATGTTACCAGATGTGGACTGATTACCTTGTTCCAAATTGTCTCACAGTGATGTTTGTACCTCGTTACTGTTCGAGCACTCATTTGTTCACATCCAGAACCGCTTTTCGGAACGGGTTCATCCATCAGACACAAATCGCGGCGTCGAAATTTCTGGCTACTCGTAATTCGTCCCTTTGGATGAAGTAGAATATCAAAAAGAAGAATAGCTAGTTATAGACTACAAAAGGACATGGCGAAAGCCCTACTGCTACAAAGCATATAACAGAAAGGGCTAAGCTTAAATAGACATATACAATTGTATGATGAAAATATTTCAAGCGCGACTTATTAAACAACGCTTTTACTAGCGCATGATAAAATGGAAGCTAATCAATGAGTACCAAGCTGAGTTTGTGAGGTGAGAACGAGGGTTACAGTGCCCAACCTTCTACCGCTTCCCTTTTTATAATAACCAACGGTAATCATTCTATCCGTCTACTAAGGAAGTCTAATACCTGGTACCAAATTGGGTTGAAGAGACGAAAACTAAAGCTGCGATGTTGGACCTTCTATTCAAACAACATATGCGCTAGTAACTAACAATTGTAGGGGCCAAATAAGACGAGAATAGTATAGATAGAAATTGGTCACATCTAGACTCACTGACAGCCGTCACACGCCCGGAAAAGCACTGTACGCGCGTTTCATCCTTTCGGGAATCGTCAGCAGTGTGCATTCCATCTGTAAGACGAGAATAAACAAGTAAGTCCAAGGTAGACGGGAATGCATACATGTGCTTGTAATTCATCTAACAGTTCCAGCTGTTTTCGACGTACTCCAATACAACTTGTATGAAATTCGGCCCTTTACAATAGGTTTGACAGTTCAAATAAATTCAGTTTGATCGGCTCAACCGTAGTACCTAATGTGCGATCTTGTGGATCCGATCACGGAATATGTGCTGGTGCCTAGGATCTTACGGATATGGAAAGTCAGTTCCAAGTGGTTACATATTTGTTCACGGAGAAGTTTGTGTGCTGGTTAGCACACTAATTAAATACCATTAAGGTTAATTCTGATTTATATTTCGTAAGAAGAAATGTGCTGCTACTGAAAAGCATATTCGGATACATGCGTGTATAAATTTTATCCAAAGCAGCAATAAGTTAACTTCAAACACCAGGTGCCAAACTGAGTGGAATTCCGGCATTCTGCGACGTTGTTGGTCGGTAAGTATTGGAGTGAAGCCGATAGTCAATCTGTAAATGCTTTGAAGACGTTCATATACCCCTGTCTCGCATTGTCATGCGTTACAGTGCACCACAACACAGTACTCAAGCTTGAGGCATGTAATGTCTTGAACGATATATACATAACAGTTTTGAGTTCAACGATGTGAATATCGTCTGTTTTTGCTTAACCTTCCAGACGGCACAACTCGCATGTTCCGTAATAATCAAAGCGGATTCTCCAAGTCCAATTTTGAATTCGTTTCCGCTGCACCGAGGGTTGCTCGCGCATCTCAGTGGCAGAGTGCTTATGGCGTCAACCATGAGCCACTAGACTCTGAGTTCCAGCCCAGCTCAGGCTATCTCTACATGATGAGTCCAAAGCAGGACGAAACCACGGTCGTGGGGTGCCAGTGTTGGGATGCGCAACAACATAATGTTTCCAGTTCACCTACGGTCCTTGTGATCGGAATGACCAAGGTCCACCTCAAGTGAACCGAGGTCTCATTAGAGATTGCTTGTAGCAACCCAACCACACAGCGGATTCTCCAAATTCAACTTTAAAATATTGGACCAATTTGCTACGTCTTGATGTTGAGCACCATACATAAGAGCTCTGACAATGCGGGTTTTTAGGTGTGATGGAATATCGCAAAGTATTAAAAATCCCTGATGAAACCTGGTGTTTATTGGACGCTTCCGGCCGCGACTCGAATATTAAGAGATTCCGGTCAATTTAGACGATCTTTTTGAAAATGCCCGAAGTTAAATAGACATTGTAGTCCACTGGAATGTCGACGAACTTATTTCTCCCTTCATGTCTGCCAGTTCCAGAGTGCACTTATAAACTTTGTTGTTTGACACAACGTAAAGGTGGGTAAGACAAAGTCGGCTGACCTTCAATGATTAAGCACAATCACTATCCGTTAGGTCACAAGTGCGGCGTACATTCCATTTCGTGAGCCGGATGTCGCCGTTCGGGTAGGCCAAGGTAGTTTTAATGTCTGAACGTGCCGTTTCTGAACACACAACTCCGGCTCGTACAATCGAATCGCGATGGTCACCGCGGATTCAAGCAAATGCCTCCGAACGCACTTTGATCAATTGTCTGGTACCTGATAGATCACTCTGAATGACTCAGCCAACTTGGTGGCGTGGCCAGTGTCGGCGCGATGCGTGGTTATGGATGAGTTGGTTTGTTTTCGACAAGCGCTCATGAACCACGCCAGACGGTGTACTTTCAACCTTTTCAAACAGGCGCCTCGTCGTTCGGCCTATGTACCCTGCCCACAGGAACAGGAGAAAAAATAAGAACACAATGATTTGATGTGGACGGGTCTCTTGTCTTTGGGGCTAGTTCTGACCATTGGGTTACCGCCGAACTGGATTTGCACTTTAGCTGTTTTCAGCAGCGATTTCTCCCTGTATGGCAGTTGGAGAAATATGGGTATTCCCCGGACTGTAAGGGTTACGGGAGCTTCATGTTGGCTTTCAGGAAGCTGTCAGGGTAACCGATTTCTCTCAGCGTCGAACGTATGTGCTTCAGCACTTCGGGTAACGTGTCCTTCGAGAAAATTCTTTCTGCTTGACTCATTAGACTGAGGATCAGGTTCCGTGTTAATTTCAGTGGGACGAAACTGTGGAAATTCAGGTATTGTCCATTCCACGCGTCTTTCCTATACACATGACATTGTTGCGTGCCACTCTCGAGTCGCCTCATTGTCACGTCGAGGAAGTGCAAAGTGCCATTTAGCTCTACTTCGGAGGTGAACTTCGGTGCTTCGTGCGCCTGCTTAAATTCATTGGTAAGGTCGTCGATGATTCGAGCGGTGTGGAGCAGTACAACGATATCGTCGACGTAAAGGTGGTAAAGACTGAGGTTCGTGATGACAGATTTCAGCTTTCTCTTTTCAAGCATACCCATGAATACGTCAGCGAGAAACATTCCAAGTGAAGAGCCCGTAGCAACTCCCTCGTGCTGTCGCTACAATTCACCTTTAAATAGAAACTTGCTGTTGAAAGTGTACCGAAGCAGCGGTTCCTTTGTCGCCACCGTAGGTATGCCAATAACCCTCTGCTTTTCTTCGACATAACCACAGAGGTAAGTTATGGTTTCAAATGGCGACACATTTATAAAGTGAAGTCACACGAGAGAGCACTTGATCAGATCCGTGACATTTATCTCGCGCACCGTATCTACGAAATCAAAATTGTCCTTGAGGCTGTGCACAGCAACTCGTTTTCGAATAGGTTCCAGAAGCTCGACTAATCACTGTGCCGTAGAACACAGTGAATTCTTTATATCCAAGAGTGGTAGTAGGGGGACGTCAGGTTTATGCGTTTTGGGAAGACCGTACAGTCTAGAA